GGAGGAAAAGTAGGTATCTGGAATGGAGACAGAGGCAAGGAATGTATACACCTCTGTTAATTAACTCTTTAAGCTATTTAAATATATTTTATGGATTACATTTTACCCTTGGGACTACATTCCTGAGTCTCTTGCTACACAGCATCATTTAATTCTAGCGGGAACAGAGTGTGCTGAACTGAAGTTCCTGGAAGAGACTGGCACACAACTTCATCTAGCGGGAACAGAGCATGAGGGACTTGAGTTCTGAGAGGGGAAAAGCCCCAATCAGGTTCTCACTTGTAATAACTTTTTCCTGGGCACTACTTTTTACCTTGGCATACATCGATCATCTCCAGTTTGTGCACTTGGCTCTGTGTTTAATCTGCTGTTTTTGTAACTCAGCAATGATTAGATTTAGCACACATCCTGCAGTTACCTGGCCTCATTATCATAACAAAGAGAACATTAGACCCAAATAGGGTTGTATCCACAGATGCAGGAGTTAGGATTCCAACACCATGATTATTACTGAAAACAATGTTGCTGTATGGATGAAAGAATGTTAAACACACACAAAAAGACCTGCTACCAGTATAAAATACATGATATCCAAATGTAAGGAGTTTCTCCAGATTCCTGAAGATTTGAAGTAAAAAGGTTGCTAACCTTATTTCCATCATGCCAAGCTGGGTAAGATGCACTCTACATCGGTCATGTGGCAATTTCCCCAGCATTTTTGCAAGTAGTATGCCTAAAACTAACTAGCAGACATGCATACTGAAACCAAATGGTAACTTCATAGCTTCAATAATAAGATTAAGAACTAAAAGTAAAATAAATAATAGCATTAAGAGTTAAGTTGACACTTGAAAAATGTGGGGGTTAGGGACACTACCTACCCAGCATGGTTGAAAAATCTAACTTTTGACTTGCCTCAAAGTTAACTACTAATAGACATACCTAAAAGCCTGGAAGCCTTACCCATCACATAAACAGTTGATGAGCTCATACATCATTTGAGGATTATACTGAATATACATAAAAGCTGTGAATGCATACATACATACATACATACATACATACATATATCCCACTCTTTTACAAAAAATGCTAGCACTCTGAACATACCATCCTTTACTTTTAATTTCAGGAGTTTTTCCACGGGGCATGGAACAAAGGAAAGGAGATGAACAATATCTGACAGCTGTCCAGGGAATTTACCCAATTGCTCAATGATTTTATAGGCTGGTTTATCTGAGGAATGCCCTGTAGTTGTTCAGATTAGTAAGGATGTGCTAGTTTTCCTTTCCTTCCTTCTCTCCTTTCTCTTTCCCTCCCTCCCCCATCTTTCCTTCCTTCCATTCCTCTGGCCTTTTCCTTTTGTAAAGGTCTACTCCCTTTCTTTCTCTTGTCTTCAGTTAGTGGTTCTCTACGTCCTTGCTTTCCTGACCTGCCACTACCGATCTTGGGCCTTGCTGTCTGTAGCTAAAACACCCACTGAGAGATTCTGGCTAAAAAATTTCCCAAAGTTGGATCTGCAACATAATGCTCCTTATGGTAAGCAGAGATGGGCTTCTGTGGGCAGATTGCCTTGAATCTACAAGCATGGCTATGCTCCTGTCAGCTTTAGTAAGAGATTCAAAGGTAAGTTTGCCTCTTGCAATTCACCTACCTATCAGGTTTAATCAAGCTTGAGTAAATACTAAGCAAGTCACCACACTATTTCTGCTTCATTACTCCTGGGAATGCAAACCTTTGTAACACCCGTTTACAGGAGCTCTGTGAACTGCTCTTGTCAAAACACCATGTGGAGATTTTTCTGCAGTGCCAGCATTATCTGACAGTGCCAGTTCTTACTCAATGTTTTCATAAACATGTTGTGTGGGAACCAATTGGCTCCTTTGTGGAGTTCAATGAACCTAGACGCATGACAACTCAGCAAGGCAAGGAAGGGGGTCTATGGGAGAACTGTCATAATCTTAGCAAGGCCCTTTCTGAGCTCCTGCCCTATCTTTGCTAATAGTACAGTCCCCATTCTTTTCCCTTCAGACTAGTGTAAGATAACCAGAACGTCAGCAGTCACCTGAGAGAATCAGGTGAGATGTTGTTAGCTGCCTTCTCTAGCACTGTATCTGACAATGTGCTGCTGCTATGCGTGCTTGCAGTGGCTCACTCGGCAGAAGTGGACCATCGATTCCTTCTTGTCGTCTGTTTTCAGTCGGGAAGCTCTGCTGAAACCTGCTCACCTTTTGGTGACCCTACTGGTATTTGGAATCGCAGTGACATAGCTTCCAGCACCACAGCAACGTATGAGCCCCAACAGTACAACAGACTGACACCCAAGAGGTAGGAGCACTGAAGATGACTCCACCCTTATTTTGTTGAGCCTTTTAAATACGTTGGCAATAGCTGGAACCATAAAAACCATGAAGAAGATTACTTTCCCATAGTGTTTCTCTCAGCTTTTCTCCCATAGTTAGAGTCCAGACGAGGTTTGAAAAAAGGATTGATAGAATTTGGGGCACATTAACAACCACCCATCGGTCAGGTTGTTATATTATGGTGTCTTGTGTGTTGCTATAATTCCGGAAGCTAGATCACTGATATCTCAAATACTAGTAGAGTTGCCCATTGTGGACAGGTTTCAGTGGAGTTTCCAGACTAAGACAGTCTAGGACAAAAGGCCTGGTGATTTATTTCAATTAGCCAATGAAAATAACAGAACATTATCAAATAGTCAAATAAAATGAGGCCTTTAGGTTGGAAGGCACTCAACTACCCCAGAGCTACAACAATAGATCAAGAAGGTGGTGCAGGACTGGGCAGTGGTTCGTGTGTTGTTCTTGGCATTATCGTGAAGTGGAGCTGACATGATAGCAACTCATAGTAGGAAGCACTGTGAGACATGGCAAGTGGCAGATTGGGTGCTAGTATCTTGTCCCTGCTTTGGCAGCTTTTATGTCTTTGTATGGCTTCTGGCTCTGAGTGGGAGAGGGGAATATATTATTCATGGAGTTTACTCTTTTTTTATAACCAAGATCTTTTGAAAATCAGCTTGTTGTAGTATACTGCCCAGAGAATGATATCTCTTACTGTAGGCTTTATATTTTGTGTTTGCAAGGAGGAGAGGGATAGAGGGTCTGTATTTATCGACAGTTGATGATGGTAAGACCAATAATGAGAACCGAGGGTTTTCTATGCATCCTCCTCAGAGAGCAGTGTGGGCCAGCACTGTTGTGCTCCCAGGGTGGCCTGTCAAGGAATTATTAGCACCCTCAACCCTAAACCCGCTGCCACAGAGTCAATTCTGACTCATAGTGATCCTATGTAGGGTTTCTGAGGCTGCACATTTTTACAGAAGCAGATAGCCTGACCTTTCTTCCCTGGAGTGGCTGGTTGATTTGAATCTCTGGCCTTGAGGTTAGCAGTTCAACTCTTACTCAATAGTGCCACCAGGGCCATCAGGGTTCCTTGTCATGGCTTTATTCATTTATTTTTAATTCAAAGATCATTTTATTGGGGGCTGAGATAGTTAAGGTTTATTGTGACAACCTGGCCGATAAACACATGTGGGATTAACTGAAGGGCAGAGAGATAAACGACTTGGTGAGCTTCACCTTTCTAGTTCTCGGGTCTCTTGCTTTCTGATGGTCAGACCAGGGTATAGCTGCTTTAGCTAGTTCCCTGCTTCAGCTGGCAAGGCTCACTTCCTGCAAGACATCCCTGAGGAGAAGCCACATGGACCTACCCCGATGCAGCCCTGGGTGCTG